GATCTTTGTCTAGATATGTTCAGAAATTTAATGATTTATACCTGTTGGCTGTGTGAGAAGTCACAGAGATTAATGTCTTACAAAGTAGCGTGCTTTTCTTCCTTTGTTGATAGAATGGGTTGGTCCCTTACACATGTTTTTCCCCTAGGCCAGCTCAGACCTTTATTTTCACTGGTTCCTTCTTCCGTCTCTTTCCAGTATGAACTTGTGTTTTTAAAATTTCTTTTAAATTGATAAACCATGTGTGCAGTATATGATGGGTGTTGAATCATCTGTCATTTTTTTTTTTTTTTTTAAAGATTTTATTTTTTCCTTTTTCTCCCCAAAGCCCCCCGGTACATAGTTGTGTATTCTTCGTTGTGGGTTCTTCTAGTTGTGGCATGTGGGACGCTGCCTCAGCGTGGTCTGATGAGCAGTGCCATGTCCGCGCCCAGGATTCGAACCAACGAAACACTGGGCCGCCTGCTGCGGAGCGCGCGAACTTAACCACTCGGCCACGGGGCCAGCCCCTCATCTGTCATTTTTTAAAAAGTCAGTTTTGAGATACTCTTCAGAAAAGTCATTGTGTTAAGTTGTGGTTAACAGAAATTGAAGAACTTGAAATAGATTTTCTACATGTGTGGATATATATCATTTCTTTACTCTCTGTTACTGTAGGTATGTTAATTTGTCATTGTCTATTCTATGATTAGGGTCTGCTTGATTTTTGTATAAATGTATAGGTAACTTTTTCTTTGTGTTTGCTGAAGATTTTTTTTTTTTTTCCTTCCAAGTCAATCACCTTCTGCTGCTTGGATGGGTGGATTTGGTGCTCAGCCTCCCCAAGGACAAGCTCCTCCCCCTGTAATACCTCCTCCTAACCAAGCTGGATATGGTATGGCAAGTTACCAAACACAGTGAGCTGGGACTCTAAACAAAATTGTAATTCATGATAGCTTCAGTTTCCTGTGACACTCTGAAGACATGAAAGTAGACATCGGAAAATGAAAATATTTATTTTAAAAATTGAAATGTTTGGAACCTTTAGCACAGCTTTGCTTTGGTGAAGGACACATGTCTTCTAGTTCTGCCTTTTTAAGTTTTTGTTCATGATGGATATGAACATGATTTTTCTTTGTGTACAAAAACTAAAATAAAGTCAATAAAGACAAGTCTGACTACAAATTTTGATATAATAGGAGAAATGGGTAATACCTTTTGATTCTTAGATACTATTCCATTTTTATCTTGCTGTTCAGTATTTTAACTCACTGTGTTTTTAAAAGAGCAAAAAAGGGAGGATCGTGAAAAACTGGGAATCACATATAAGTTCATCCTGAACCTTGATACTCCCCTCCCCTCCCCTGAGGTGGACCACATTTGAAGTCAGCAGAAAAAAGTGTGATATTGAGAAGAAATGCATGATTTTGGAGTCGCTTTGGAGGAAATACTTACTTTCTCTGTGACTAAAGAAACTGAAGCCAGACTGACAAAGAAATTTTGCAGCCTAAATAAGGAACAGCGTTGTCTGAGTTACTTGAGCGAATGTTGGTGGTCCACATTGACATATTTTTAAAACTTTAAAAAGTGTTGATTATTAAAACTGTAGCAAATTACATTTCATTTTGGGGGGAAATTCCAAGTATGGTGTTTGTATTAAAGTCAGACAGTCATACTTGTGCTTTTACATGAAGTTTAAATGATATACATTGTAAATATTGAATAACTCCAGTGTTTAAAAAGCATGCTTCAACATAGAAGTAGCAAGCAATGTAATTATTTGAAGTAACACTTAGCGCCCTCCACTGCATCGAATGCAATGGACTGGTAAGAGTGTTTGAGACTGACGGTTCCAAGTGTGGCTACTATGTAAAATTAAAACTATACAAGTCACTATACAGAAAAAGCCTTAATTTTAATTTCATAGAAATATTTGATGCGTTAGCACATTTTAAAATGTCACTGGAAATTAATTTTTTTTTTTTTTTTTTTTGCTTTACATGACTTGGTATGTAAATACCTTAATTAAAACCTTGTAAACCTATTTCAAGGTTCCTATAAGTTGTATAGTACAAGTGTTTTTAAAAATCTTGGGGTGTTTTTTAAAATTAGATATATTTTGCCCAAGAATTTTTTTAACAAGATTGCTAAAACATCTTATTTAGACAGTTTGTTGTACCAATTTATAATTGGATATTCAGCTTAAATAGTACACAGAGTTGTGACTTTGATTTTTAATTAATTTTTTCTCCCTGTGGGTGGTGTGCATGGGATGAGCAGCCTGAGCAGGGCTGAGTTGTGTGTGTGGAGTTTGTAAATGAATCATTTGGGTAGACATTAAGATTGAAGTTTGCTTCTGAGGTATTTTTCAGGCTGTGTGGATAAACCTGCCTCAAATTTCCATCGTAACAGGAATGTAAAAGAGAGAAAATCTTATGTATTTGAATTCTGACAGCTAGGGGGTGCAAATGTTTAGGCAGTGTATTTGAAATGTTTTCAGGCCTGGGCACCAAAATGAGAAAACCCTTCACAGTTAAGCAGTAAGATGCAATAAGCACCCACAAATTACTATTTTTTAAACTTTTGAAGTCTTAAAATTAGCTTTAAAATAATGATGGTTTTATAAAGTGGTGGCCACAATAATTTTCGTGTTATTTTCCTTCTTCCCCCATTTAGAAATACAGACAAATGCATTAAACAGGAAAATTCACAGCGTCTGAAGTTCTTCATCTTTGGGCCAAATTTTTTATGGCACTTTACTTTTAACCACAGTAGTCATGTATTACCCTCTTCTGTTATCAAATTTACCCTTATTTCTTTTGTTCATGGTTAGTGTCTTGGGGGATGTTATGGAAAAGTTACTTTATATTTTTTAAGGAGAACACTCATATCAATTATGCCTCCTAGTTAAAAATTTCTTGACTATATGTGAAACTTGAACAACTAAAGACTTTTTTAATATATATTGATAAAAGCCTATTAAATTCTCAGTTTGCCTTCTTTGGTCTGCCAGTAAACTAAATAGCTTATTGCAATAACAGCTAAATACCACTGCAGTGTTTCCTGGTTGTATATTCTATGATTTAATAAAATTATCCAGATTAGTTATATTGCCATAGTAAACATATGACTGAAGTGTCCTTCATCTTAATCTGGAAGAGAACGAGATTTCATGATCAGTTCACTTAATGAAAGTTATTTCATATTAAATGGTTTTTAAAATATAAAACTACTTATCTAAATGAAATACACCATTTTAGAATACAACTGTCAGGCTATCAGACTCCAGACGCTTAAAGCACAAAGCGAAGTTAGTGCTATCTTGATCCAATTTAAGCCTGAGAATCATTGCCTTTTCCACGTTCGTTAAAAACAGCAGCAGAGATCCTTTGGCATGCAAGAAAATGTTTCTTATTTCGTAATTATTTTGAGGTTTATTTTGGTGCTGTGTTTCTGACCGCCATCTTTGCTCTAATAATCTCTCTACTAGTATTTCCCCCATGCCGTTCCCACTTGATTTTTATGTCTGCTGGCAGTGAGAGGCTAAAATGACTGGCCAATTTAAGCCAAAGCTGTAAACCACAGTTGAAGTAAGTCTTTCAATAAAGACTAGACTATATGATAAGTGGCTTTTTCTTATTGTCGTTTATTATATAATTATTCCTTCCAAGGCTGCCATGAAATAAGCAATTTTGTTTTCTTTTAATTTGTTAGTAAGGTATGTGGAATATACATATATTCAGGATCTATTTCTGTTTTCGGTATGTGTTAAAAGTCCATTAGCTTTATTGAATTAAAACTTAATTTCTGTATGTGGAGGAGAAGAAATTTGCATCCTTCTAAAACTGTATGCTCTGTTGAATATTAATATAGTAAAATCCTATTACTTTAGAGTCCACAAATAATGGAAACCACTATTTTACCGTGGTTATTTTGATCTTTGGTAGTATCATAAGTAAAGATGCACTCAACAAAAAAGTAGAAAAAGAATAAATTATCTAGACACTTTTCTTGTAGATATGCTCAAATTAAATATTACCTATTAAAAGTCAGCATTTTGGGGGCCTGGCCTGGTGACATAGTGGTTGAGTTTGCACGCTCCACTTTGGCAGCCCAGGGTTCGCAGGTTCAGATCCTGGGTGTGGACCTAGTACTGCTCATCAGGCCATGCTGTGGTGGGATCCCACATAAAACAGAGAAAGATTGGCACAGGTGCTGGCCCAGGGCCAGTCTTCCTCACCCTCCGCCCCCAAAAAAGTCAGCATTTGAGCTTCCACTTAATACATTATAAACATTGAATTTGCGTTTTTAGTGTGTATTGGAAATACACAAAACTTAGACTTACTAGTTTATGTTAGCCTTCTCTTAGGTGGTACAGATGTAGGCAGGTTTTGTTAAATATGAATTCTGCTGTGTGAAGTAAGAAAATATCCTACTTATTCACATAGGTTACTATGAATTAGATTGCCATCTGTTCCATTTTTTCTTTCCTCCCCAAGTCCCCCTAGGGCATAGTTGGATATTTTAGTTGTGGTCCTTCTAGTTGTGGCATGTGGGACACCGCCTCAACATGGCCTGATGATCAGTGCCATGTCTGCGCCCAGGATCCAAACTGGCGAAACCCTGGGCCACTGAAGCGGAGCGTGCAAACTTAACCACTTGGCGGTGGGACCGGCCCCTATTCCATTTTTAAACAAGGAAATTAAGTGAATAATTATGACTTGTAAAAAATGTGTTATTCCAAATTGTGGTTAATTAATGTGGTATTTAAATGTCATATTAATGTGAAACCTGGGCTCCCGTCTACTTAAATTGCATCTATTTTGAAAATTACTACAGAGAGGCTAGAAACTAATTCACAAGGTTCTTTGTGTAAATATCTCTTTTAGGGATAAGAGTGACTTCTGATTTTAGAATTGCCTGAATGTGGAAGAAGTTCAGTTTCTATCTAGGAAATGGAGGAGGGAGAAGTATATGTATTTGGTTATTTTTTATCTTAGG